CCACCCCTGCCTCCCCCACCCCTCCCTGCTGTGTCCTCAACACTAGCCTAGCGCTCGGCTCTGCGTCCCCCCTCGTGCGTCCTGTACTGCTTTGTGAGCGTAGCGTAGCCGGCATCCAGTGGCACGGATCCCTGGAGCACACGGGCTCCTTGGGGAGGTCAGCTGCAGGGACACCCTTAAGTCCAGTGGTGGCTGCCCACCCAGTAAATTCATCTGCCTGGTCTAGCCTGGATAAGTGTCCTGCCTGCATCTCTTAGCTGTAGCACCTGGGACTGATCTGTAGCTATTTTCTTTTCTTGTAGTTAAGATGACAAAAATGTGACTTAGAAGAAAAATACTGTCAAAACATGTGACACCATTAGGAACAGATTAAATGTCCTGTGTATTCGTTTGACTTCTAAGGTGCAAAAATTCATGTTGGGAACAGTGCAATCAAAAAAACTGGAAACAGTTCTATCCAGTTGAGGCAGGGAGATGGAGACAGGGGGGAACTCAGTGGGTTGGCATAGTCCTGCTAGAGTGAAGTCTGAGATGGCACACACCTCAGCCTGCGGGGGGCACCCAGACCTGCTCACACGCAGATCCCCGGGGGGCTGGGGGCTCCTGCTGGTGACACACTGGCTCCTGCCAGCCCTTGTCTTGCATCATCATTTCTTGGCTGACTTCCCTGAACCCAGCAGGGAGAGGGGAATAGATACGCTGCTCCCCCCTTGCAAATGGACAACCAAATGTTTTCAGGGAGTTTGCTGCATAATGTTTTGTTGAAAATACTTCTGCTTTGAGTAAGCACATCTTCCAGTGTTCTTTGGGTACTGTGGTGACTTCTTCCGTAGCCTTTTCTTCTTGCATGTGGATGGTATGTGTTTGGGGAAACTTGTAACCGTTGTTGATTGCAACTCATCTTCTTAAGGTTTGTTTTTTACTTTCCATGCTACGTGTATTAAAAAACAAAACAAAAAAATTAAAAATATATCAACCCCATTCATCTCAGATGTCATGTCTCTGCCAGAGCTGAATGAGCCACTTGTGTTGCAGGCTTCCAAGCAGGCCTGATTCACATTTAAGTTACCTTATTTCAGTGCTACTGCTCTTGATTTCTGTTGGGGATCCTCTGTTGTTCTGATGCGAGTTCCTTTCTGTATTTTAACTATTGTTTTACTACTTTTCCCCCTTTCCCTTCCCCTTTTCCTTTTTTCTTTGTTCTTCTTGTCTCTGAACTCCAGCCGGCCGGGTAAGGCCAGTCCCTCCCGCCCAGAGAGCCCCAAACCACCATTTGACATGTAGGCCTGCTCCCTCTGAGACTCTTTGCCTGCTTCTTAGCTGTTCTGTCCTGGAATGGTCTGACTCAGATCTCACACATGGCTTGTTTTGTTTGTATTTTGTGACACACACATATCAGATGTGATTGTAGTGAATCTGGTTTTGTTTTCTTTCTTCCCAGCTGCTTAAAGGAGTTAAACAAGTATATTGTAGTAATGAGAAACATATCTTTACTGTTATAAATATCTATAAATATATATATAAGATGAAAAATCTATATATGTCCAGGTGTTTAAAGCCATTTGTGCTTCCATGTGGATTTTAGGAAATACTTAAGT